CAGGTTCACAGAGAGCCAGTTTTTATTCTGTCCTCATACGGTTGAAGAGCAAGGAGCTCTCTGGAGCCTCTTTTATAAGGGCACTAACCCTATTTGCCAAGGCTTCACCCTCATGGCCTCATCACCTCCCAAAGTCTCCACCTCCTAATACCATCACCTTGGCGTTTGGAACATATTAATTTGGAGGGAGCAGAAACATCAGTCCACTGCAAACTTTCAAAATATATCAGAAGACATCCAGTCTCTTCATTACAAGGGACATTATAGAAACAACCTTCAGAAATCAAAATTGCCTGACACTCTGCTTTTTCCTGGCCGGACATTAACTCACACCTCCCCTCACTCCTCTAACCAGCAGGTCAGGGATACTTTCTCATTCATATCCCTTCCCCTCACTCACCCCCTCTCTCCTCTTCCAGGACCTCACGCAGTGCTGCTAGCAAGGCAAAGACTAAGTAAATCCACAGGAAAAAGCCCACTGGCCAGACATTCCCTCTGAACTACTGAGACTCTTGTTCCTTGAAGGTTTGAGGGCAGCAGGCCACTTAAATGAGCCAGGCAGGACTGGTGTCCGCCTCCTGAAAAATGACAGTTCTCTCCTATAGCTGGGCACTCTGAGAGCCAACCTGACAGGAATGAGTTTCTCATTCCTTATCTGGTCATCACGCGAAGTGTCAGGCCGACTCTAGGGTCCGCCTAAATTAGGTCTGAGGAAAGAAAGCAACTGATTTCCCTGTAGAATCTTCTCTATTGATTATCCTGAAATATTGTAGCCTCTTGGAGCACAAATGATAATAGTCCAAAGAATTCTTTTCATTCAAATCATAATTTAAGGGGCGCCTGGGTGGCTTAGTCGGTTAAGCATCCGACTTTCGCTTAGGTCATGATCTCACGGTTCGTGGGTTCGAGCCCCGCGTCGGGCTCTGTGCTGACTGCCAGCTCAGAGCCTGGAGCCGGCTTCAGTCTGTGACTCCCTCTCTCTCTGACCCTCCCCTGCTCACGCTGTCTCTCTCTCTCTTAGAAATAAATAAAACATTTAAAAAAATCATAATTTAAAAATACAAGAAACAAAACCATTGGCTAAAATGCTTGTATGAAAAAAAATCTCTTTATTCTTAGATGACTAATTTCTACCTGCAAAAAATGACTTTTAGCCAGCTCAGAGTTTCATTAGATAACACATTTTTAAAAACTGAATCGGGAAGAAGCATTTATTATAATTCCAGAGAATGGCTAAGCCTAAACAAGCATTAAATCAAGAAAATTCATAAAATATATGATAATACTACGTTATTAAATAACATTTCGGTCATGGTAAGCACTGAGTAACATGTAGAACTGTTGAATCACAGGGGTGCCTGGGTGGCTCAGTCGGTTAAGCATCTGACTTCGGCTCAGGTCATGATCTCACAGTTCGTGGGTTCAAGCCCTGCGTTGGGCTCTGTGCTGACAGCTAGTTCAGAGCCTGGAGCCTCCTTCACGTTCTGTGTCTCCCTCTCTCTCTGTGTCTCCCTCTCTCTCTGATCCTTCCTGCTCACGCTGTGTCTCCTCTCTCTCTCAGAAATAAATTAAAAAACCAAACAAAAAAAGAACTGTAGAACAGTTGAATCACTATACGGTACACCTGAAACTAATATAACAGTTTGTTAACTATACAGAAATTAATTTAACTTAAAATAATAAATATTATTTTGTTCCTTGTCAACAAGCAAACAACATAATATAATGGTATACCCTACAATCTTCATTCTAGGAGAAACCATTAAGTTTTTTTGGTGGGGCTTTTTGGCTTTTTTTGTTTTTTTTAAACAACAGGTGTTTTACTTTGTCAATCAAGTATTATCTATAATGGCATTTCTGGTCCTATCTTGGTTTTAAGTACGGGGGCAATGCTAAAAACCACCCAGCTTTGGACTATTCACAGAATCAGCCAAAAGTCACTGAATGTAGGCTGCTCCGTTTTTAACCAACCATGCTGAGTGTCCATATTGTTGCCCATATGGTACTATAATGCGGTATCGTTCTGGCCACCGGTGCCTCCACTGTCAACACCCCGACAGTGGAGTGCAAACAAAAAAATAAACCTGTTCAATGGAGCAAAGCTCAATCCACTCTATTCCTTAGTGTTTCTCTTTATAGAGAGAAAACATAAGTCTGAGGACAATGTATTCAAATTCACAATTTGGCCCTCAACAGTGCATGACAGACCTCATTTAATAATCAGGTATTTCACAGATATGTTTTCAGCTTTGAAATAAATAACAAGAGAAGTATAAAAAGAATATAATAGAATCCTGAAAAATAAAAAGGAAAAGTAAACTTTTAATATTTATTTATTTATTTATTTATGTAAGTAATCCCTACACCCAACATGGGGCTCAAACTCACGACCCCAAGATCAAGTGTTGCATGCTCCTCTGGCTGAACCATCCAGGTGCTCCAAAAATGAAAAATAAATTTTTAAAAAAGGAACAGAATCCAGAAGCAATTATTTCTATTACAAAAGCATTTCATTTTGTAAAGAGACTCACAACAGGCTTCTTTAAGTCATGCTACACAATACAGAATACAGCAAAATAATGATTTAAGTACACCAAGTTAGAAGGGTACTAGGGTACTGAAAGTGAATCATTATCATTGATAACAATATCAGCTGATTCAAATTCAGGCCCTTGGTAGATGCTGAGATGAAGGCCCCAAACTGGATGCCAGAATGGGCTCCTTAGGTGTTAGAGGAGGAGAAACATGCACTACTTGTAATTCTGGATGCAACTATACACTTGGGTTTTCAGGGAATTGGGAGTCTGAATGGTTAAAAACAGGGCTGTCACCACTGTAAGAAATAAAGTAGACACCCTTCCAAAAGTCACTATACCATCCTGGGGTATGTGGACCATACTGGACTATTATTCTGAATATTAATCACAAACTTTCAGTTTTCCATGCAGGCTGTGAATTTCACTTCGACTTGAATCAATGGCCTTAAAGTAACTGAAAAACTTTGCCTAGCAATATGAGAACATTTGCCGTGACTGATAGTTGAAAGCAGTTGATCGTTTTGTACAAACTCTAAGTCCAGTAGTGGGATGACACAAACGAAGAAAATAATATTCAGGAAGAGGAATAACAATCTTCCAGTTTTCAACTTAAATTACATTCATTTTGGTTTTTTAAAGCAGAGAAAGTTTACGTACAAAACTAAATTTACTTTTTTCCAATCTAAAGAACAGCTTGGAGTCAGCTTTCTGCATATAGGTCATTAGCTGACATGCTTTTGTTATCCAAAGCCTTAAGACTACACACCTCTCTCAAATGCATTAGCAGACTACAAGTGAGCCCCGCCAGAATTGATCAGATGTTCTTGGGCAAATTGTGTGTGCAGCCCCTAAGGGGGCTCTACTCTGTATCAAGACAGAAGCTCCTGCTGTTCCTGAGAGGCTGTTTTTGAAGAGATCACAAAGTCAGATAAGAGTTTCTATTTTCTGTAAGTAAAAATTTGCTGTAGAAGCAACTCCAAACCTACAAACACACCCACTTTTTCACAATAAGCCTCAGCGCTAGGTAGATCAATGAAGTATCCGCACTGGATTTCAATCATTTAAAAATAGGTCTTTAAATCTGTTCCTTTGTGCATTTCAATCTCTGCATGGGAACCGCCAACTTGGTTCACAAGCAACAATACTGCCCACTGAAAAATACACCTTCCTTAAACAAAAAGATACTTTTTGTTCCGTGAAGCTTTTTCTGCTGCCATATCCAGCAACAAATGACTTTAAAAGACAGATTCTGCCATCCTCAAGGGTGGTGTTAGGCAAACAGAAACAGCAAACAAAATAACAGCAAAAGCTTAACAAACAAAACCAAGGTGAGTTGGGGGTAGGAGAAGGGTGGCGGAGTGGACGTGAGAAATGGGACTATAAACTCCAGGATCTGAGAAATTCAGCCTTCACCGATGAATGGGGGGCGGAGAGACGAGAGGAAGGGGAGGCGAGGTTTTCAGTAGAGGAAAACAAGTATGTGCCGCTGTCCTGGTTTTGTTTCAATAGCACCCGGAGACTGCACAGCACGCACAATCGAGTTTTGTGACTAAGACGGATTCACTGAGAGTAACACAAGTTTGTTCATGACACAATGGAGCTCAACTCAACCAAATTGGGAAATTATACAAACGATAAATAACCATTCCTTAAAATGTTCTAAGTGCGTTTGGCACAAAAGTTTACGGTTATTCGCAGGAAGCATCTATCAATTTAATATCACCACGTTGCAGGCTGTGCACCCGTTCTGTCATAGCCTCTTTTAAGAAAACCGCTAATCACCCGGAGTGCTGGAAGCCTAAAAACTATGGTCATCTGTCTCCTAGGACTGTGGGCCTGATAGTGTCTCCGGTAGAAACCAAATAGCGGCCAGAAGCCGAGGAGTCCCAGGCGAATTCTTCTGAAACACAGTCCAGTCCCGACAATCCACGTGCCGGAGTGAAAGCACTGGAGGTGTGTGCGCGGTCCCTCCGCCCTCCGGGCCGCGCGTCCGCAGCGCTCCAGGCTGTCAGGTGGGTGGCGACGAGCCTCGGCGGGGAAGCCCTGCCCTGCAGCGCGGCCGCCCGCGGGAAGGACAGGGACCAGCCCCGCCGAGCGCGCCGCGTCCCGAGGCCGCCAGGCGCTCACCTTTGTTCGCCTGCGCTCGCAGCCGGGAGAGAGCGCGGCCCAGGAGTGCGGGGGGCGACCCCAACGCTCGGCGGCCCCTCCCTGGCGCCCCGGAGGAAATCCGTAGGCTAGCCAGATCCTCCCCGACTCCCCGAACGGCAGCCGGGCTGAAGGGTCAACAACCCCTTCCCGAACACAAAGGTTGGAGACGCGAGCGCGAGCGCTGGGGGCGCGGGTGCGTGCGCCACGGAGCACGCGAGTGTGCGTGTGCGCGCGAATGTGCGCGCGCGGATGCGTGTGCGTGTGTGTGAGAGAGTGTGTGAAGGGGGAGGGGAGGAGCGCTCCAGCCCCTCTTACCTCTCGAAGATGAGCCGCACCATGAAGATGCAGAAGGCCACGGGGAAGGCAAGATAGAGGTCCTCAGCCTGCGGGAAGGTGGCCTCCTCCGTGTTCTTCAGGTCCGCCCAGGTGACATTGTGTGGGAGCCAAAACCGCTCGTTCCAGAACCAGGCTAAGATCCCTGCCATCTTGCTTTGTCCACTCCTGTCGTGGGCTCCCGCGGCCCGCCGAGCTTTCCGCCGCCCAGGGCGCCGGGGGATGCGCGCGCGGCTGGCCCGAGCCTGTGCCGCCGCGGCCGCCTCCGCCTCCGCGACCGCTGCTCTCGAAGGCTCGCGGCGAGCCCCGCTTCTCTCCTCCCTCTGGCCGCGCTGGGGAAAGGAGCCGCCTCGCCCGTCACATGGCAGCCCGGACCGCCCGTGCTGATTGGCTCGCCCACGCGTCAAGCAGGCAGGCACACGCGGCCAGCTCGCCCACGCCCGGAGGGTAGGGCGCAGCCGCTGCGCCCTGGGCGCAGGATCCCGGCGCAGGAGTGTGCTGGCCGGTCCTGCGCTCGCCGCGCTCCGGCTCCGCGCGTAGCACCGAGACCTGAGGCGGGCGCCCCCGAATCCGTCCTAGCCAACCGGCTTGCTCGCACATGCTCAGAACGCCGGTTCCTGCCCCCACTGGAGTTACAGGGGTCTCGGTCCGCTTCGCGCGCGCGTACAGGCGGTGGGGGAGCAGGTAGGGGCCAGGGCCGATCTTCTGAACCACCCCCTGCATTGAGAGAGAACAGCAAATGAAGTACGGAGCTCAGTGGGGCAAAGGAGGAAGAAGGAAGAAGTAGCGGAGGAGTCGTGCACTCCCGCGCTTAGAGGGGCAGGTGCAGGGTGAAAATCAGGAACTGGGGACGTATGGTTTGGCAAAAGCCTCTGCCTCTACCTCAGCCCTGCCTTTTCCCCATCGCCGACCTTCGGACCTCTTTCACTACTTCTCATTACCACACCAGTTCCCCCAGGGAACAGGACCCTCTATTTTAATTCACGAGGTGGTGGGTGAAATTAGGGACTTACGTACTATTTGCTAATGAGGATGAAAATGAGGATGATGATTCTGTGAAACTGCCACTCTAAATGCCACCAGACCACGTTTTGGCGTCACAGATCAGTAGGGAGAACCTCCACGCTGCTGTTTAAAAGGCTTATTATTTCTACTTTTTGAATCTGAAACCTTAATGTGTTAGGTCTGTAAGGCCTAACCCAGGCACCTTCACTTCCACAGGACATTTCCTCATTGATACGGTGAGCCATGTGTGGGTCAGTTCAGTGGTCCGTGCAAACCTGGCTCTAGGGGAATTTTGTTCATTTTTCTCACAATCATTCCTTTTCTGCCTGGTTCTGTCAGCAAGATACTTTCGAGAGGCATATAAACAGGCCCTTAACACACACTTCTTTATTCTCTCTGCCCCACCAACCTCCACCATCTTTTAACTCCCCCCCCCCTTTTTTAAGCAAAACTCTGCAGAATTGCCTATATTTATTTCTTCCAATTTCTCTCCCCTCCATTCTCTTTTGAACTTCTGTTTGGGCATTTGCCCCCCTCTACTGCACTGAACTGCTCAAGGTCTCCAATGATCTCCATGCTGCTAAACCCAAAGGTCAGTTCTCAACACCTCTGTCAGCAACATTTTGGCCAAGTCCCTGCCTCTCAAAACACCTTCTTGTCTTGGCTTCCAGAAACCAGATTCTTCTAGTTTTCCTTCTACTTTATGGTCACATATGCTGAGTCTGCTTTTTGGTCTCCTCGCCTTCCTAACCCCTTAAAGTGGAATGAGCTAGAAGTCAGCCTTTTGTCCCCTTCACTTTTCTATCTACATTCATTCCCTTGGTGTTCTAACCCAGTCCCATGGCCTTTAATGTCACACTGATGGCTCCCAATTTATCCCTCTAACCATGAACTTTTCCTTGAACTTCAGTCTCCTAAATCCACCATCAATTCAACAACTCCGCTTAGATGTCTGACAGCCATTTCCTGTCCAAACTACTAACGTTCCCTCTAAATTTTTTTTTCCTTCTATCATCTTGGCTCAGGCCAAAAACCTGGAATCATCTTCTTAATGATTGATTTCTGATTTCCTCAGATGTTCTTCCTTATCCATAATAGGTTCTGTCAGCTCCATCTTTAAACTAGAATCACACCATCTCTCACCACCTCTTCTTCTGCCGTCTTTATCCAAACAATCAACACTTGCCACCTGAGTTGCCCCGGCTTCAGCTCTTGTCCCTGTATAGTCTACTCTCAGCCAGAGTGCCCCTGTTGAAGTAGAAGTCAGCTCATTTCTCTGCTTAAAGCCCTACTTCTTCTCCATCCCTCTCCAAGTGAAAGCCAAAGTCATTTCAGTGCTTTGAGATATTTAGCTCCATATTATCTCTGCATCTATTCTCTTCTCTCTCAACTCCTTTTCCCTTACTCTTTGGAACTCTTTAAGGTGATGCTTAGTCACTCTGTCTCCCTGGCCTTCTTGGAAAAACATTCAGCATGCCTTAATACCTGTGCACTTGATTTTCTCTATCTCTGCAGCTCACTCCCTCACCCCCAGATATCCATACCTGCTCTTGCTATAATGTCACTGGCTTTGTGAAGTTTTTCCTGGGCACCCTACTTAACATACAATACTCATTCCCCACTTGGCTCTTCCTGTCTATCTTTCCTGCTTTGTTTTCCTCCAAAGCATTTATCAGTATCTAACATAATATATATTTTACTTATTTCTTTACTAATCACACACACACACACATTAAAATGTAAGCTTCAACAAATTAAAGATTTGTACCTATCGCTATTTTACCCCTAGCCCTTAAAATAGTGCCCAGCACATAGTGAGTATTCAATAAATTATTGAATTAATGAATCAGTATTACTCAATCTCGCACAAATCCTTTCTAGGAGAAGAAAAAAATCCGAGTAAATAATTGAATTAAATATGTATATACTCCTGTGAAGAATAGTGTGAACATAGAGATGGGATTAATCAAGTCTGGAGTAGTGTAGGAGGGGTGTACTTGAAGTGAGTTTCCATCAAGGAGTAGATATCACGGTCCCCACCTGAGACCGTGCAGCCAGCTCCTCAGTGTTACTGATGTTCCCCCAGGATGATGCCTTGGCGTCAACTGCATCCATGTAGGCCATAGAGAGGGGATTTGCTAAGGTCTCTTATCACCTTTGTGGCAGAAGATCAGGTCATGGTGGAGCCTGGTCTGCTGAGCCAGAGAGACTCCCTCCATGGCTTGCCTCTGGTCCTTCGTGTCACTCTCATCTATCACCTGATAGTATCTTTCCTTCTACCTAGGACCCCTCTGCTGTCCAGCAGTTCTGCTGCATCCTCAAGCATGTACAAGAGGAAGTGCTGGTAAGTTAACCCTGAAGCCCAAACTTTGACCAAGGACAATAGAATCTAGTGGATCAACTTTTACTCCTTTCCCTCCCCTCCCCATGGCACACACACAGTAACTTCACACAGCCTCTCTGAAAATACCCTGTGATACAAACCAATCCGCTTATTTCAAATCTGTGGCCAGCTCAGTAATCCACTCCCTTATGTTTCCTTTGTCTCTTTCTCTTACTCTCCTTTCCCCTCACTCTGATTCACTGAAATTACACTTCCCCAGAACTGTTCTTTTTCCTAGAGAAGACAAACTAAGTTAGAATTGCTCTCCTATTCATTGCCTTTGAGAAGATGGTGGGATTTCAGAAACATTTTGAAAGAGAAGTTTTGCTAGGCAGTGGAAAGAGAATTTAGTAATTGTTTGTGAATTTTAGCAAATCATTTAATATCTAAAAGCGTATTAATGCCTTCAGAATGTAAAATGTTAATGTATAAGTTGTGCACCAATAGTGCTTGCCCTGCCTCCGTTACCCCACTGTCACAAGGCTCACGTGCGATAATATGTGGAAAGGGGCTTGTAACTCTATACCTTTAGGCACATGTACAGCATAGAAAACCTGTATTCTTGTGTCTGTCCAGCATCTCACCTTTAGGCACGAGGACCTTCCTACCACCCTCCATCCAAATGATTCCCCAAGAAATACAATGGAGTAAAAATACCGTTTCATGTCTGACCATATTTTATTGGTCTAGGGATGGACCAAGACAGTAATTGAAGTCCTTCTTCAGGTATTGGGACATGAATCAAAGCAGGTTGTTTGTTTTTGTTTGTTTGTTTGCTTGTTTTCCAGTAACTTGGACTCAAGGATTTCAAACTTGGAAGCTGTTAGCCCCATCCTTCATCGTATGGATAGAAAAAGCAGAAGCTGGTCAGCACCAAGAGAGAGGAATAAAGCAGACCTGTAGAATTAACTAAAGGTAAAAGATACATTTCCACATGGTACCTGAGAGCCAATTATTTTCTCCATCTTTAGGTTTCATGAAACAGTCTCCTATCTCCATGATGAATCCCCCTTTTTATTGGCTTGCTGTTATTTTAATTCAAAGGAGTCCCACTATATAAAACATTACTCTAAGAGTACATGTCTTTAACACTGTGCTGACCTCAGTTCAGCCCCCAGGGGAAGGTTAGTCACAGACATAACCCAGCATACCTCCCAAAGAGGCCACTGTAGACCTGTGCAGAAAAGGCTTCTAATGGTTGCCGCAGGAAACCGAAATACAATTTATTCATCAGACATGTTTGTAGCTCAGCGAGAAAGCAAATAGTTGGTCTGTAATTAGAAGAGATAAGGATAGAGAAAAGGTGAAAGAGTTTTTGTTGGGGGTAGGTAGGGGGATACTGCATACACTTGATATTAGGAAAGTGTGCTTTGGACCCTAAATATAAAGCATCATATGAGAATATAACCTCTTTTTTTCCCCAGGTAACTGGGAAATATCAACAAAGTTAAGCATTACTTCTCATTTTCAGGCACACACCCATGCCTTACCGCTTCTACATCATTAGAGTCCACCTCATCATTGCAGAACAGCCAGTTTAGTTGAATTTCCACTGTGAGTTGCATAACACAAAACCGTAGGAATTGTTCTACGAAAAGAGCACAAAATCTACTTGGGGAGCATGATGTAATGACATGAAAAGCCAGATAGCATATACACCAGCACCACTTATGAAAGCATTGGGCAATATTTAATAAATGCCCATGTACTGCAGTTAACAAGAACTTCATGCTCAAAGGAGGAAGGGAACACTCTGTGTTGAAC